TGGTCCGTACGGACAGCACTGCGACCGTTGCGTACATCAACCACCAGGGCGGTCTACGCTCCCGTCGCATGTCGCAACTCGCCCGCCATCTCCTCCTCTGGAGTCAGAAGCATCTGAGGTCGCTTCACGCCGTTCATGTCCCAGGCGAGCTCAATCGTGCAGCCGACGAGCTCTCACGTCAGCCAGCCCTTCCGGGAGAATGGCGACTCCACCTCGAGACAGTCCAGCTGATTTGGAGACACTCAGGTAGACCTGTTTGCCTCCCCGGACACGTCCCATTGCCAGCTGTTTTACTCCCTGTCCGAGGGGACCCTCGGCACGGACGCACTGGCATACAGCTGGCCTCGGGGCCTACGCAAATATGCGTTTCCCCCAGTGAGCCTTCTCGCACAGACACTGTGCGAGGTCAGGGAGGACGAGGAGCAGGTAAAAATGGGCGAATTCCTCTGAGGAGGGATCACCTTTCTCAGAGAGGGGCACCCTCTGACACCCATGTCCAGACTTGTGGAATCTCCACGTGTGGTCCCTGAACGGGACGCGGAGGTTCTAGGTGGGCTACCTCCAGCGGTAATAAACACCATCACTTCAGCTAGAGCCCTGTCTACAAGCCTCAATGTGTATGTTGCCGCCATTGCCGCACATCACGAGGCAGTAGACGGTAAGTCTGTAGGGAAGCACGACTTGGTTTTCTGGTTTCTCAGAGGGGCGAGGAGGCTAAATCCTCCACTCCCTCACCTGTTACCCTCTTGGAATCTCCCCTCAGTCCTGACAGCCTTGAAGGAGGAGCCCTTCGAGCCTCTGCAGTCAGTAGAGCTTAAGTTTCTGTCGTTAAAGACAGCGCTCCTCACCGCATTGGCCTCGGTCAAGAGGGTAGGGGACCTGCAGGCATTTTCGGTCGACGATTCGTGCCTAGAATTCGGTACGGGTAACTCTCACGTTGTCCTGAGACCCCGGCCTGGATATGTGCCCAAAGTCCCAGGTAACCCTGAGGCCCCGGCCCGGCTATGTGCCCAAGGTTCCCACCACGCCTTTCAGGGATCAGGTGGTGAACTTGCAAGCGCTGCCCCGGGAGGAGGCAGACCCAGCCGTTGCTCTGCTCTGTCCTGTTCGCGCTTTGCGCACTTACGTGGGCCATACGCAGAGCTTCAGGACCTCAGACCAGCTCTTTGTCTGCTTCGGAGGACAGCAGAAGGGAAAGGCTGTCTCCAAACAAAGACTTGCCCACTGGATAGTGGAGGCTATAGTCTTAGCATACCACGCCCAACGGTTACCGTGCCCCCTCGGAGTGAGAGCACACTCTACGAGAGGAGTGGCATCTTCTTGGACATTGGCATGGGGCGCCTCGATAGCAGACATCTGTAGAGCTGCCGGCTGGGCGACACCTAACACGTTTGCGAGATTCTATAATCTCCGTGTAGAGCCCGTGTCCTCTCGTGTACTC